CAGAGTAGCTTAATTAGCCCTGACTCTGAGTAAGATATTTTTTCTGCTCTTAATGGTATCCATGATTTGACCTCTCCTGGGCTAGATGGCTTTAATTCTAAATTTTTCAAGCACAATTGGGGTATTATAAGGAATGATTTAACTGCAACAGTCCAGGAATTTTTTGTAAAGGGTAAACTCTACAAAGCTTTTAACTATACAGTTGTGTCCCTTATTCCTAAAAGCATATCTGCTAATAGCATCCAGGAGTACAGACCCATCTCCATTTGTACTACTTTCTACAAGATCATATCTCATATTATGACAGACAGATTTGGTAAAGTCATAGGTAGTATAATCAATCAATCAATCTCAAGCGGCCTTTATCTCAGGTCAGCATATCCAGAACCACATTTTGCTAGCATATGAGCTGATAAAAGGTTACAGTAAAAAAGGGCCCCCCTAGATGCATGGTTCAGCTTGATTTGTAGAAGGCCTATGATATGATCAGTTGGCATGCGTTAAAGGCTATTTTGTAGGATATGGGAGTGCCTATCCAATTCATTGAGTGGATTATGTTAGGGGTCAAATCAGCCTCCTAAAGATTCAATATTAATGGACCTATCTCTCAAGTCATGAAAGCCAAGAGGGGTATTAGGCAAGGGGAACCTCTCTCCCCTTACCTTTTTTTGGTTGTCATGGAATATCTTCAAAGGTGTATGTATCACATGCAGCTTAATCCAAACTTTAACCATCACTCTAAGTGTGAAAAATTGCAGCTCACTAACCTAATGTTCACAGATGACATTCTGCTTTTTTCCAGAGGTGATGTTCTTTCACTTGATTTGATGCTCAAAGCTTTTTACACTTTCTCTAAGTCTACAGGTATGAAAAATAATTCTGCTAAGATTAAGATTTTCTTTGAAAATGTTGGTTTAAATTGTAAAATTATATCCTGATTCGGTCTGAGTTTGAGGAGGGTTATTTACCTTTCAAATATTTAGGTGTTCCCTTGACTTGTAAGAAGTTGGCCATCTGCCATTATATGGTTCTAGTTGACAAAATTGTTGCAAGGATTAGACATTGGTCTGTTAATTTCTTGAGCTATGCAGGGAGGCTTCAATTAATCAAAAGTATTTCTTTTGCTATGGCAAACTACTGGCTCCTCTGTTTCCCCTTGCCTAAATTTGTGATAAAGAAGATTGACTCTATTTGCAGGTCCTTTTTATGGACAGGTAAGGACACTCTCAGCAACAAAAGTCTCGTGGCTTGGGTGGATGTTTGTAACCTTGTTAAACAGGGTGGCTTGGGAGTCATTAACCTTGCATTTTGGAACAAATGCACTATGCTGAAATTGTTGTGGAATATTTGCAAAAAAGGTGATAATCTTTGGGTCAAATGGATACATTCCTATTACATAAAGAACCATGATATTATGAAGGTGAAGCCCAAAAGAAATAACACTTGGGTAATGAGGAAAGTTCTAGAATGTAGGTTGTTTATTGAGCATAATTGGGCGCTTTGGAATGATATTATGAAGCAGGAAAACTTTCTCATGCAATATGTTTACTTGCATCAAATCTCAGACCCTAAAGTCATTTGGCATAAACTCATGCAATTCAACTTGGCAAGACTCAGAGCTCTCATGATTTTTTGGCTGGCTTGTCATGGCAAGTTAGTAACAAAAAGTAGACTTGTTAGATTTGACATCCTGGATGGCTGCAGTTGGATAATGTCTCTAACAGTTGGGACCAGATTCTTAATTGGCTTCTTTTGCATGCTAGAGGAAAAAGTTGGAGGGCCTCGCTTCTTAAACTTTCTGTGATTGAAACTGTAAATGGAGTTTGGTCCTATCGTAATGCTTTTACCTTTGGCAGGAAAGAAGATATTGAGAGAGTCTCTCATGATATCATTAACAAGATTTTGTTTAGGAGTTGGTTTAGTAAAGTCCTGAAGCCACATATTATTAGTTTTATGATGTAATAGGCTTTGGTCTTTCTCTTGTATCCTTGGTTGTTATGGTTTTGGCGGAATCTTAGGATCACTCGTATTTCCTTGACTTTTGAATAATAAAAGTTTCTTTTTTTCAAAAAAAAAAAAATAGTTGAAGATTTAGATTTACCGCTCTACATCTTAAGGGGAATAGGCTGATAATATCAAAATCATTCATAAGGAAAGAAATATACATCAAGTATTGGTCTAATTAAAAACTAAATATGGAGATTTTTTTTTTGGAATAACCATGTATTAAAAAAATTTCGCAAATAATCATGTTTCGGAAAAAATTACACAAATAATCATGTTTCAGAAGACTCCCCAAAGGAGGAGCCATCTCACTTGGTGCCTCCACTCAGCATTTTGCCCTAGGCGCCATCCCACTTGGCGCCTCCTCTTTCTTTTAGTCAAGTGAGATGGCGCATGCACTTTAAAAGTGAGAGGAGGCCCCATCTCACTTAGCTTCTAGGGCAAAATGTTGTTTTTATAAATAATTCGTCCGTTTCTCTGTCATTCCTCACACTTTCTCGCACTGTTTTCTTATTTTTTACTCTGTTATTTGCGTCATGACATCACACATGATTTTTACCAGAGATGGTTGCGTTATCTTCTCCACCACAAAACCTCCGATGAAAATGAAATTCTGGCACATTCACTCCATGGAGCGTCTGAAGCGGGAGTTGATGCGATGGCTAGATGAAGACATCGTGGAGGAGAGAAAATTAGAAGGATCCAGCGTCACTTGCGACAGGAAGACCTAATATTTGGTTGGAGGAAGTCAAAACAGACAGCAACGTAATGTTGATGATGCATGGGTCAGATGAAATTGTTTTAACGGTTGTAATTTCGTAGACGGTTTATCGTGTTTTTTTTCTTGTTCGTGCAATGTTTATTGTAACAAATATTGTTAACGAAAAACCCTAATGTTTACAACATAATAAAGGAAAGATTTTTTGTAATACAATTCTTATGTGGTTGAGGCAGTAGCCCGATTCAGACAATTTTTACGATTGTGTCCGATCTGACGACATAAACCACACTTTCTTTCCAGCTTGTCAATGGAGTCCATTTTGGTTGTGATGCGCTTACTTTTGGGACGATCCTTTTTATTCCTTCGCATTTGGTCATTGTGCCATACTATTTCGCCGTCGTATGCAGGTCAATAATTTGGTTTTATACGACATCGCTCAGGTACTTATATTTAGAGTTGCTTTGACAAGAATGAAGTTGAAGAAGCTATCTTTATTTGATTTCCGTATTTATTTTGGATTGAGTCATCATCTTATTATGTAACACTAGATAAACGTTTGGATATATATTTTAAAGATACATTGTATACTCTATATTATTTTGTTATCGTTATTTGAATTATATAGTGAAGTGACTTGTATGCCTAAGTTGATTAAATAAATAACTTTTATTTTGGAAACCTAGATATTATATTCATTTTAATGAAAGTGATCTGCTGCTACATGCTTATGAGAAAGTGATATGAAAATCATGAATTTAATTTAGTGTTATTGAACATGACAGAAGTTGTTGTGTATGAAGTATGTGTGACACCCTTGCTTTTGAAATGCATGTGATATTTACTCTGATTTATGACGTAATATTCTACAGAGTTTTAGAGAGTATTACATAAAGGAAGTATATCATGGATTTAGAATCTGGTAGTGCACCAATGAAAGTGGGCATTGCCACTAGTTTTAGCGTTTCCTACAAAATTAAAGTTCTTATTAAAAATCGACACGAAACTTGTATGAGCGATGTTTGGAGATGGAATCAAAGTCTTAGACCATTACTTTTAATTATTTAGAAAATTGTAATTTCCAATTTTTCTCTTAAACAAATTGAACCAGTTTAATACTTCAAAATTGTTGTACGTTTGCGGCATTATCAATATTTATATTTAATCTAATCATCTAAATTAATTCAATTAAAATAGATATGTATGAATATTTCAATTAGTATTTTTTTTTAAAAGAGAGATATGCAGTAATATTCGAATTATGATATTTAGTTTGGTGGAATATATTTATATTGACTCAACGTCAACATTTGTGCATATTTCTCTTTTAGTTTAAATATTCATGTTCGTCATTAAACATTGTAGTTTCTCAAAAATAAAGATCTTCTATAATTGAATATTGGATATGCAATCCCTTTTAATCATTATTTTAAAATTTTGAATTTAAAAACTAAGATATTTAATTAGTTAATCTATAAAGAATTATAGAGACAACTTATACTAAATTATTTTGAATATTTTACTGTCTATTTTACTTTTATTCTCTACAGATTTGATTATAATATAATAATATAGGTAAATATTAAAACGACAACTAAAAGAATTTTCATATAGTATAAAATATACATATTATTATATATACTTTTTTAATAAAATAAAATATTTATTACCTAATTTTTCTTTATTTTTTAAAAAACATTTATGTCAAAATTCCTCTATAAAAATATCACTGGAGTTCCAACAATTTTCACCAAACATTTAGAAATCTATTTTGAAAACTAAGATGGATTCATTTTTTTTACGGTGTATCTTAGGCTTAATACTCATTGTGTGAAGTAGTCATATTGCACATGCTCAAGACTCGCCGACAGATTTCGTGAACACGCACAACTTAACAAGAGAAGCAACATTTTGGAATATTACAGATCTTGTTTGGAATAACAAAATTGCCGCTTTTGCTCAAAATTATGCTAATCAACGCAAGGATTGTAAAGTGACCCTTTTCGACAGTGGTGGCCGTTACAGCGAGAATATTGCAGTAAGCCCTGGTAATATGAGTGGCATGGAAGCAGTGAACTTGTGGGTGGCTGAAAATCCCCACTATAACTTCTATATGAACAGGTGTGAAGGTGGTGAATGTAGTCATTATACCCAAGTGGTTTGGTCAAGATCACTACGTGTTGGATGTGCTAAAGTGAAGTGTGATAATGGAGGGACATTCATTAGTTGCAATTATTATCCTGCTGGCAACATTCCAGGAGAAACTCCATTTCCATGATTAGGAGAATCATGATCATTTGATTATGCCTCATGTAAGGTGTTGTAATTGTTCTAAAGTATAAAATAATATTCACTTAAATTCATTTTGGTAGTATTTCATAAGTTTTTCCAATTTGTATTCACACACTTATTTCTCCTAAAATATTTTAGATGAGTTCGAACTCGGATGAAAAGTCTGATCTCAAGTTATGATTTAAATATTTATGATGCATAACACTAGAGTTTCTTAATACACTTAGAACATTAGGCCTACCAAAACAAGTTATCAAATTGAAAGTAAAAATACTTATCATGCTTATGAGAAATTTAGACCAATCCCAAGAAATTTGTAATTGTACCAGTTTAATTGTTATTACGAAATTTGTTGATCATGTTTTTGAAGCAAAGATTGTTGTAATGAAAACATGAAGGCAATATTATTTACATCTCACGGATGACTATGTCACTTTCACAATCATTTTGGTCGTTTAATCTTTTAAGAAGACAATTTTCCATAGTTATATATTACTTATGCAATAACCATTAATAAATCATCAGGATCGATTCTGACTTTTTAGAGGCTCGGGACTAATAATAAAAATGAATCCATAATAAAATGTTGAGCAATTAACTTTGAATTTTGATCATATATAAAATTTTTAAATATTTAATTATGAAAATAAATATTATTTAAATTTTACACTAAAGACAAGGCTATATCATACAATTTAGAAATCTTGTTTCAATTTTAAAAATTAATCGCTAATAAATAGAATGGAAATAATTCGAAAAGAGATATTTTATTTAAAGTGTAAATAATATTAAAAACTATAAAAAAAGAAAAGAAAAAATAACTGATCTATAAATATTTTAATGTTCAAATAGGTAGACAAAACAACAAATTTTTAATCGACGATGCAAATATTTATTTTTTAACTACAATATTAAAGTCGAAGTGTTTTAATTAAAAAACAATTAAAAATTAAAATTTTAAACAATGAGAACGCATTGCAACAATTTTTTTATCGGATGTTATTAATCACTAGAACAATTATAACTATATGATAAAAAACATAAACATTTAAAATTTTGTATGTCAAATATATTCTTAAATTTACGAGGGTCTCATAATTTTGAGACATTGTGACAAAAATTCCAATATTTTACTAGAGTTGATATAGTATCGTGAAAAAAGAATTTTTTTTTGGAATAATCATGTATTAAAAAAAAATTCACAACTAATCATGTTTCAGAAAAAATTACGTAAATAACCATGTTTCAGAAGACTCCCCAAAGGAGGAGCCATCTCACTTGGCGCCTCCACTCACAATTTTGCCCTTGGCGCCTCCTCTCTCTTTTAGCCAAGTGAGATGGCGCATGCACTTTAAAAGTGAGAGGAGGCGCCATCTCACTTGGCTCCTAGGGCAAAATGTTGTTTTTATAAATAATTCGTTCGTTTCTCCGTCATTTCTCACACTTTCTCGCATTGTTTTCTTATTTTTTACTCTGTTATTTGCGTCATGATATCGCCCATGATTTTTACCAGAGATGGTTACATTATCTTCTCCGCCACAAAACCTTCGATGAAAATGAAATTCTGGCACATTCACTCCATGGAGCATCTGAAGCGGGAGTTGATGTGATGGCTAGATGGAGATATCGTGGAGGGGGGGAAATTAGAAAGATCCAGCGAAGACGAACAGCAACCTCACTTGCGACAGGAAGACTTAATTTTTTGTTGGAGGAAGTTAAAATAGACAACAACGTAATGTTGATGATGCATGGGTCAGATGAAATTGTTTTAACAGTTGTAATTTCGTAGACGGTTTATCGTGTTTTTTTTCTTGTTCGCACAATATTTATTGTAACAAATACTGTTAACGAAAAACCCTAATGTTTACAACATAATAAAGGAAATATTTTTTGTAATACAATTTTTATGTGGTTGAGGCAGTAGCCCGATTCGGACAATTTTTGCGATTGTGTCCGACCTGATGACATAAACCACAATTTCTTTCCAGCTTGTCAAGGGAGTCCATTTCGGTTGTGATGCGCTTACTTTTGGGACGACCCTTTTTATTCCTTCGCATTTGGTCATTGTGCCATACTATTTCGCTGTCATATGCAGGCCAATAATCTGGTTTTGCTACCAAACAGAAGTTGTTATTATAAACGTTGAGCAATGTTTCAGATTTGTAAATGTGTGATAGAAGTTGTAGTGCGTCTTGATGAGTATAGGCACACGCGGCAATGACATGAGAGCAAGGCATACGAAAGGCTTGAAACTTTCCACAATCGCACCAACGAGAAGGTAGTACAACCCTATATTCTTGTCTTGACAGGCCCTCATTGTGGTCGATTGTCTCTTTGACAATGAAGTTGTGGCTATGTCGGTCAAACCGTATAACCATATGGGTGTTGGATTTGGAACTTTCTGCCTTAATGTACTTCATGCAACTTTGACTCCATAGTTGTCCAGATTGCAACACCGCATTCCACATTTCACCTCTTTTGGTAAACAACAAAGTCATCCTAAAATATGTTGATTTAACCAAAGCAGTGACCGGGAGGTTTCGTATGCCTTTGAATATCCCATTCATCGATTCAATTAGATTTGTTGTCATATGGCCCCATCTTTGTCCATTGTCGTATGACCTAGTCCATTTTTCTACCGGAATATTGTCGATCCACCTACCGGCTTCCAGATTTGACAAACGGATCTCATTGCGATAATATTTGAACGTAGGTTGTGTCAATGCATATCCTGCATTCATAACCGCTTTCCTAAGTGTTTTGTCTTTGATCTCCCTCGTGAAATTTTGGAAGATATGTCTAACACAATAGACATGCGTAGAAGGAGGGTCATGCCAACCGTTTGCAGGATTATTGTATGCACTTTCAATAGATGCATGTCTATCCGAGATCAAACAGAGATCTGGTTGAGGAGCCACGTGTATTCACAGATTTTTGAGAAAAAAGCTCCAAGCACCACCAGTCTCCCCCTCGACTAGGGCAAAGGCAATTGGGAAAATGTTGTTGTTGCCATCTTGTGCAACTGCCATCAGTAGCGTGCCTTTGTATTTCCCATACAACCAAGTCCCATCAATTTGTATAATTGGTTTGCATGACGCAAACCCTGTGATGCAAGGTTGAAAAGCCCAAAACACTCGACTGAATATTCCATTTCTGTTGAGTTGACTACCATCCGGGGTTATGCTGGCACTGTTTCCAGAATGTAAACAGTACCCGGAGAATAAGTCTGGAGTGCATTCAGGTAGCGAGGACGTTCTTGGTATGACTCCTCCCAGTTTCCATATACCTTTTCAATCGCCTTGGTCTTTGCTAACCACGCCTTTCGGTAAGACGAAGTATAGTTAAATATCATAGTGATGTGGGAGATTATGGTTTTCACCTTCAATGATGGATCGTTGCTGACGAGTGGTAGGATTTCTTGACAAATGAGATCATAATTAAGTTTTCGATGATCCTGTGATTGAGTAGAACTGACACAAGTGTGGGTAGACATATGACCCAACAATCACCTATTAATTTGTATGATGCAGTGAGCTTGAACATACAATCAGGGTGGACACACTTGATCTTGTACCTTTCTGGATTTACACGGTCCACCTTAAAATCGACCAAGTTGAGCATGTGGAATTTTTTGATGGCTCTGATACATTCTTCTCTATTATGAAATTTGTCTTTCTCTTTTAAGTTTTCATCTGACTGCATATACGGATTGAAAAATAAATCAGAAGAAAATTCATCTCCACCCATGTTGAAGTTTGTCATGTGCGGAGGTGGTGTGTAGATCTCGTTTGCAGGAATACCAGGTATCCCATCGTCTTCAGAATCATCATTGACCATTTCGTCAAACTCCAACTCGACATCTTCTTTTTCTTCATCAACTGCATCTACTTCTGCTTGTTCGGTCTCCAAAGGATCAACCACTTGTGACAGCTGAGGCTCTCGCAGCATAATGTACAACTCAATAGAGTCGTACCTAGAATACTCATGACTGGAAAACATATTCTGAAGATCCTCATCATCTTGAACCTCAACCTTATAAAATATTATTTGGTTTTTACCAAAAAAAACCGGATTTTGATAAAATATTTGTGTCACGGGGCCTCGTCCAAGTTTGGCCTCTAATCGTTTTTTGAAGTACAAGAAATTGGCTTTCCTATTTAAACAAAGTCGGATGTTCTCTGTGTCTCTAAACAAAAACCCAGAGGTGGGACAAATGTATGTCTCACTGTTGAAATGTGCACTGATCATATATTGGGGTTTAGAGGCCATTTTGTATGACTGTTTGAAGGTTGGAAGGTTTGAAGTTTATGAGTTATTTGATGGAATTTTTGAATGTTCTAATGTTTGAGAGATTAATTGTATCAGTGTTTTGATAAATGTAAGACTAAATAGGTCATACTGAATTTGAATTAACTGAGGTTGTCCAATCGTGTTACAAGCATGCCAGAGATGCCTTCTCCAAGGCTGCCACCTAGCCTGCGCCTACACTACACATACATTGTAACCTCTAAGGCACCTCCCATCACGTCCAATAGTGTTACATGCATTCAGAGATGCCTTCTCCAAGGCTGTCACCTAGCCCGCACCTACCCTGTAACCCATGCCACCTCTTATTTGCCAACGGGGATAGTGACACCTTTAATTTTTGTACTCTTTTGCCAAGTCCAATGGCGCCTCCCTTCATGTCCAATCGTGTTACAAGCATGCCAGAGATGCCTTCTCCAAGGCTGCCACCTAGCCTGCGCCTACACTGCACCTACACTGTAACCTCTAAGGCGCCTCCCATCACGTCCAATAGTATTACATGCATTCAGAGATTCCTTCTCCAAGACTGTCACCTAGCCTGCGCCTACTCTGCAACCCATGCCACCTCTTATTCGCCAACGGGGATGGAGACACCTTTCATTTTTGTAATCTTTCTCCAAGTCCAATGACGCCTCCCTTCATGTCCAATCGTGTTACAAGCATGCCAGAGATGCCTTCTTC